GGGGAGGGGGAGGGAGAGAGAGATACAATTGCGCCCTATTTATCCACCAAATGTCCCAGAATTCCTGCTAGCTCTGCCCTTGGTTCCTCACTGTTCTCTCCCTGGTACTGCTGGGAGTTGTAGTTTCCAATCACTGGAGTAGGTTGTAGGGTCCAGAAAGCTTGAGTAGGGATGGAGTTCATAAGACTCTGAAGAGTTCCTTTAGGACATCCTTCTCTTAACAGTTTCATCTTTTTTTTTTTTTTTTTGCCCCAATTGGCTAATGTGTTATTCACGGTGGTGTGATTCAGGAGAACACAAGGACCTACAGACATGTTTGTAAACCATTCTCCTTCGTTCCCAGGAGAAGAGATTAATACACTGACACCTTTCTTTCTTCATATTGTTAAGTAGCTTTTGAAAAATCTAGCTCCTAAAGTAACAATTTGTTTCTTCTTTATTTTCAGTGGGAAGCTAGTTTCACCTTTGTGATTTTGAGCATTATGGGATGTCCACTTCACTTTGCAGTGGCCTTAGAATCTGCCCTTCTCGGCCCATATTGCTTCTACTCGTTTTCAGGGATTGCAGGGACCAATTACCTTGGTTATGCAGTGACCTTTCCTTTTCCATATACAAAATTCCCATCAGTTTGTGTGGACCCACCACACTATGAAGAATATCACCTGACGCTTCAAGCTTTCGACCTGTGCCTGAGCTTTGCCATGTTCTGTACATCCCTAACAGCGTTCATCAAACTTTCTGCAAGACTTGTCTGGAATGGACACATGAATGTAAGTTCCCCCTCCCCCGCCAAAAAGAAGTAGGGGCAGCTGATTCTTGTTTCATCCTTATTGACCACTATCTCTATACGTTATACTAACCAGTGCAAGTCATGTAATAGTTGCTTGACAATTGTTTTTGAGTTAGTGAAGGGGAATGTTGATCTGACTATGGAAGGTTTGTCTGTAGATAGGACCAGCTGACTTTTATCTCAACTGCAATTGAAATAATTGCCAAAAAATAACCAGTTACTATGAAATTTTTCATAGTAATTAAAAGAAGTCTCCTTCATATTTAATTTAATACTCATCAAATACAAGTTCCTTAATACAGATTTTATTTCACAAATTCATAATGTATTTGCTTTTTGATTAGGAAAAAAAGCAGACTCTTTCTATATTAGCAGAGAGGCTGATGTACTTCAACACCAAATTGACTTTTCTAACTTTTTCCAGGAGGGCTAATAATATATTAAAGATATAATGATAATATAAATTAAACACTGTATACTTACTATTTGCTGGTAAACTTCTGGAAATAAGCCTAAAGAATTAAGACTTTTTTCAAGGTGACACAGCTATTGAGTCACGTGGCTGGATTCAGTTCCCAGGCCCATTCTCTTAATCAGGCCAGAGTTATGCTGAAACTCCTTGTCACCCACTTTGCAACCTCTCCTCCTCTGCTAGACCCACTAAGATTATGACTCTAGCCTCCAGGAGGACTAGCGCAGGGCCATGGAGAGAAGTACAGTGATTTCTGATTCCATCTTCCTACTGCTGATACTGGCCTCTGCTTTGTGGGTTGAACAGAGATATTTCCCACTGCAAACTCTTACACAGGCTTTCTGTTGCAAGTCAGTATCTTATTAAGGTCAGGTGAATTGGGGTAATGTTAGCCAACTATTTGTCCAGTTTGATCCTATCAACACCAACTAGCAATTCTGGAAGACAAGAAGTTGGCACTCAGTGCTTTTGGTCAGCCTTGTTCTCTTCAACTTTTGCATAAGTCTGCAAAGGAAATCCTGTACATTCTTAGGAACAAAGTTGATTTTACAAGAAGGTCTACTGAGAGCTGAAGTGAGCAGACCAAGATTACCTCCCACCGTACTGCCAGTCCATCTCAAAGTTCAACATTTGAGATTTCTCCCTTGAGGAGAACATCTCAAGTTCCTACCACCTTTTGTTGAAAGGCATATTTGCCTTGGGAAACTACGGATTAAAGTTTTAGCATAACCCCTCAGCATGGATATTTAATAAAAGACCTGACTCTCATCATAGTGTCACACTGATGACATCCAGATTTAATGTACAATGGAAGGCTGGGGGTTGGTGGGGGGGGGGTGGAATAGATG